GCAACCAGCGAAATGGAACGGGCGGTCTGGTAAGGGCGTCCCAAAAATTTGTGCCCCTTCCTGCTGAAGGGCATATCACAAAGATGCATCCCCCGCAGGAGGGCATAGTAGACAGCAACCAGCGAAATGGAACGGGCGGTCTGGTAAGGGCGTCCCAAAAAATTGTGCCCCTTCCTGACCGGGGCTTGTGGGAAACTTCAGAGGCCCCAGGGGCACGACTGGGGAAGTCCGCCATTGCAGGGGCATGGCGCAAATACATGGATTTCGGAGGGGCATTTTGTTTCGCGTCAAATGTTGGCCAAAGATACTGGCGTTTTCGTTTGCAAAAGGAAAAAAAAAAAAAAAAAAAAAAAAAAAAAAAAAAAAAGTTACCTTTTCAGCAGCAAGTCCTCCCAGGGAACTAAGTAGTCCCAGGAGTTTCTCCGTCTGGTCGGACCCCAATCCCAACCGCGTTATCGTTTTCCAGGCCGCCACATCGCTTCTTCCTCCCGGCCACGGCAACACCTTGGTATCCCACCGTCTTCTTCTCCATTCTCCTCCTCCTCCTCCTCCTCCTCCTCCTCCTCCTCCCATCCCTCCACCCATCACCATTTTCTCCCCGTCCTCCCAACCGGAGGGAAACCCGCTCATCATAGTCATTTGCGCGAGATCCTGAGACACACGCGCTGCGACCCGCATAGCGTTGACTCCGCCGAGCTCAGCTATGGCGAGTAGACGACGGTGATGCTTTCTTCCTCCCCACCCAGGCACTTCTCCTCTCGTCTGCGCGGCCATAGCCGACCGATGAACGAGCTCGAGAGATAGGAGAACCGCCTCCCTTCCCCCAAGAACGAAGATCTCGTACATCCTAGCTCGGTTTCTGATATCCATCGCCAGCAATCGTTGATGTACCACCTTCATCTCTTCAAGCCGTTGATTCTCCCCATCTCTCCTCCTCTTCCTCCTTCTCCTGGTCCCGCATTTCCTGCTCCTCCTGTAGTAGCTGCTGCTGTTGCTGTTCCCCTTCCTTCTTCGCTCTCTCTCTGTTCCCTCCTCCTCCTCCTCCTCTTCCTCCTCATGCCCACCACCATACAATCGATCTCGAGCCACCTTCACCAGTCTAACCTGCTCCTCTTCTTCGTCCTCGTCGTCGTCCTCCTCTTCCTCTTCCTCTTCCTCATCACCATCGCCATCGCCACAGCCATAGCCATTGCCATTGCCATTGCCATGCATGCTCATGTCGTCAATTACCTCCTTCTTCAGAGAACTACGATTACTCCTCCTCTCCTTCCTTTGGCTTTGCCGCCAGAGTTTACCCCCAGTCTCATCTTCGTCTTCCTGTTCCTCCTCTTTCTCCCAAACTAGATTCGTCGGATTCGAACCGTGCACCTTAGGATCGAGATCGGACGATGACTCTGACGTCGAGATGACGTCAACAACTCTGCCTACTCTTCCTGCTCTTCCTCTTCCTCTTCCTCTTCTTCTTCTTATTATTATTTTTCTCGGCTCAGCTGGCACGTTCCTTTGAGCATCCCCCATCTCCATCTCGATTGGGTGATTACACTCACCATCAAACCCGGAGGTTGTCATGAATGCCATCTTCATAGCCCCTCTCTCTCTCTCTCTCTCTCTCTCTCTCTCTCTCCTCCCTCCCTCTCTTCCGTTAAGGCGGCGCTGTCAACAAGACACGTCAGCACGACACGTCAGCTGATTCCACTTCTGCATTCTATGTCATGCTTTCACCCCATCGTAGCTCTGTACACGTCACCTAGACACGTCAGCAATACATCTCACCTAGACACGTCCGCATCTGATACTGCTCCACAGGTAAAGATAAACACCTCCACACCTTGCCCCCAACCC